CTCACAGCTGCCAGTCTCAAAGATGCAAAAAAAAATTGCTAGCCAAGTGCATTATTGAAACGTCCTGATGATGATGAAAATATATCTTTACGCACAGATCACATTACCAGCCGTGCGTGTCTTATCGGGGGGGGGGGGGGGGGAAGAAACTTGGATCATCAGCTATGGACAACGATGATCGTAACTGATGAGTTACAAAAGGATGAAAACCGGTCGACAATTCTGTCTTTGTTTCACTGCTGCCTGTTGGCAATTTTTTTTAGTCGTCGGTCTCAAATGACAAAACGGCCACGCAATGCAGTTCTTTGGATCTGGTGGTCTGCATAAGGCTGAACGATTTTGTACATGCAGTGCACATCTCTGTGTCGTTAAACACATTTCTACTTTTCTTACTCGACTACCTGGTTGTCAATCCTTCATACAACCCCATTCTGTGCTCATATGCAACCCAGGTTTTTTTTATTTTGTTCATCATCAGTCATGATTAATCCGTTGCTGGAAGGCCTCCTCACAAGTCACCGGCATTTTCCACGGTCCGGCTGAGCTGAGCTGATTTGTATGCATGTGTAATGACGCCAACACACGTGACTTATTAAGAGCCTTTATTCAGACAGAGCACTAACGATGCCCAGGCTTGGTTATTGAGGCTTGAACTCCGTCTTCTCTCCAACGTCCCCTCTCCTTGTGCTGTCCCCTTTTATACCTCCCAAGCCCCCTCTCTGGAAGCTTCCATCACCTCACTCCCATTGGCCAATCCTGACCCTTCCCCGTCAACTGTTGTCAACCGTCCTTTTACAGTTCACCCTAGCTTTTTTAATTTCAAAGTTTTGATTAAAAGCTATCTCAGGGAATTATAAGGGAATGTTACACTTGTTTAGCCAGGAAAGCGTCACTGAGTCTAAAGGTTTTTGTAGGGTCATGCCAAGTGTTTGCAGTAGGGGGCGATGTTGCTACACGGTCGGACGGACGGTCGGACGGACGGACGAACGATATAATCTATTGTAGGATGGTCCACTTCGTTCCTACCAGTAAAATCTTTCCTCCAATCCTTTTCAATCTTGCCTCCTGACCAATCATTGTGGAGGCCTCTCCGCACCAATGGGAGGTCTTGGCCTACTTCCTGATTGTCTCAGAGTACGCTTGTGTCAGGTAAGCGGTCTGTTATCTCGATCATTACATCACCCCTCCCCCGCTTTTTGTTTTTTTAAACGAGCCGTCCCGGCTAACACCAGGGAGGAAATGACCAGACCAACAGGCTCTGGGAAGCGAAGGAGAACTCTACTCACCAGAACTTGGTGATCTCCTTACAATGAGCCTTTGTGTCTGAATTGTGGCAATAAGCAATTACATGTAAAGAACAATGTATGGTGTGAATGATTTGGCTGCTTCGATTTTGCATGTTCCACAATTAGTAACACAACAACAGGAGGATTCTGAAAACAATGGGTTGCGACTCTCTTCTGGACCGTTACGAACATGTCAGTGCAGCCGTGTCGAGATGACGGGTAGGGAGAAGTTGGGGTTTGCCAGGAGCGGAGCTTCCGTCAGCCGATCACTCAGCGTTAAAAAGGCGTTTTCCTCCTCTTCCCAGTGAAACTTTCGATTTTTATCTAGTTAATGCATGCAAGGGCTTTGCAATTGTAGCAAATTGCGGAACGAACCAGCGGTAATATGAGGTAAACCCGACAAAATTGCACACATCACCGACAGATTTAGGTACGGCCAATTATGCACGCACGTGGTTTTCTCAGGATAAGTAACAACACCGAAGCGCTTACCACATGACCCAAATATAGCACAGAAGTTTGCATCAAATGACATTTAGAAGGTTTTAGTTTTAAGTTGGCTGATTGTACCCTAGACAATACCACACGCAATCGCTGCATATGTTCGTAAACATGCGACCGAAAAACAATGACGTCATCAAGATATATAAGGCACGAATCCCATTGCAATCCCGCTAAAACCAATTCCATCAGCGTCTGGAATTTGGCTGGCGCTGTTTGAAGACCCATTGGGAGACAATTAAATTGGTAGAGCCTTTGAGGTGTACAGAAGACTGGTTTGGGTTTTGAAGCCTCGTCCAGGGAAAACTGCAAAAATCCGGAGAGCAAGTCCTGCATGGAAAAAAAAATTCCCCTGATAATGCGTCTAACGAGTCGTCAATACGTGGGAGAGGATATGCATCCGTCAATGTAATCTTATTTAGGCAGCGAAAATTGATGCAGAAACGCAGGCTGCCATCCATTTATTTAACAAGCACAACAGCAGCCTCCCAAGGACTAGTAGATGGAGAAATGATCTCCACCGCTAGCATGTCGTCCACCACATGTGCTTTCTCAACCGGGCTCATACGGTATGAATTTAACCAAATAGGGGGTGAATTTCCCATGTCAATGTGTCAAAGACGTCCGATCTATGTCATAGTGCCCTTTGCTGAATATATCGAATTTCAGGAGTAACGCTCTTAGTTGATTCCGTTGCATTTCTGACCGTTCCGTATTCTCATCACAAAGTTTGTCAAACCAATTTTCACGCGAGGGGCTGACTCCGGCGATGGTGCCCTGGCCACTGTTCCAGGCGTTCCTGGCTCCCTGGTTTCCAGAACAGTCGGCCGGGTTGCTCCGGCCGCCTGTTCTCTAGCCGCCACCTCTGCCGCTCCCGGTCTCTCCTTCCTCCCAGTGAGCTGCAACACCAGCTGGGAGACCACGCCCCTCCAACCGCTCCCATCCTTGGGTACCGAGCGGCGGCACAGTTGAGTGGACGCTCTGGGTACTGCGGCCGCTCCGGCTCGGTCGTCACCAGCGCCGCCGCAGCCTCTCTTGCTTCCCAGAGGTTGATCTCCGGGTTGTCGCCAGGTACGTTCTGGATGAAGACCTCTTCATCATCTGATGTCGTCGGTGGGTTGTTCTGTCAGCTTGGGTGCAAGATTCTTTATTAACCACACTTCTGACACCAGTTGTAGTGACACCGACACACGTTATAACTTATTAAGAGCCTTTATTCAGACACAGCACTAACAATGCCCAGGCTTGGTTCTTGAGGCTTGAACTCTGTCTTCTCTCCAACGTCCCCTCTCCTTGTGCTGTCCGCTTTTATACCTCCCAAGCCCCCTCTCTGGAAGCTTCCGTCACCCCACTCTCTTCGGCCAACCATGACCCTTCCCCACCAACAGTTGTTAACCATGTCCTTTTACAGTCCACCCTTGCTTCCAGCCTTTTTACCTTGAAAATCTTTACTCCAATCCCTTTCAATCTTGCCTTCCGACCAATCACTGTGGAGGTCTCTTTGAAACAATGGGAGGCATTGGTCTTCTACTTGATTGTCCATCTGACTGTTCGCTTGTATCATGTAAGCCGTCTGTTATCGCGGTCATTACATATGTATGTTGAACATCTTTTGCATTGTACACATCATCTCTCAATTGCCCAGTGAGCGTCCTGATCTCGGTCGTGTTCCTTAGGAGCAAGTTACTCGACGATTAGCACGGTCTGCTACTTATCGTGCGTTTGAAGTTCAACGTACATACATACTCTCTGTGTCAAATCGCCTTGCACCGAGACAGAGACACACATGAAGCAAACTAAGTTTACATTACCACCGTCTTGTCAATTCCATCATCGCCATCCACTTGTTAATATAACGCCACATACACTTTATATACAGTAATCACATTTCTCAAATGCATAATCATATTTTAAACCAAAGTGGTCTTGGGCATGACACACATTGCAATGAGGGGTGATGATGATGATGACCGATGGACGAGACTCATGACGGAATGACAGGTGAAGGAGGGGTACACGCCTGAGCAGACGCGCACAGTGGAGATGGAGCGATGAGATAATCTCGTTTGCAGGAGCGACGCGAATTGTGGCATTGCGATGTGATGGGAGGGGAGGCCTTCATTCAGCAGTGGATAAAGAATGAATGACAATGGCAGGTTGTAACCTATAATGATGCTGTGCCATGTTATGCTTTTGTAGTTAAACACCCTTTACAAGCCCTGTTCAGTGGACGTCAAAAGAAAATAAAGCTTTAGATGTCCAAATAGCGTACGTAATAACCCTGTAGGTGTCACCTATGCATTGCTCAGAGCATAATGCACTTCATTCAACACGCTCAGCATCTCAACTTCTGTCACGCTCCGTGACTCCTGTGTACGCATGAGACACGCACAGACACACACTTTAGAAGAAGAAGAAAAAAAAACCGCAGTTGCCATAACAATTAAACACGCGCGGCGTGACTCTGTCGGCATCTGGAATTACTCATCAGCATGATGATCATCAGCGTCGTCGTCATCTCGAGAGAGAGGGAGGGAGGGAGGACCGCCAGCCGGTCAGTGACATAATTGCCCCGTCCGGCGACCCCAGGCGTGCGACTGCCAAATTACTCAATTACACAATTAGCGGTGCGTGCCTGCGTGGTGCCACCGTCAGTGTTACGGAGAACCCGCGTTTGAGCGGAAGTTTTTTTTGTTTGTTAATTTCCGTAGAAATTATGGCATCCTCCCCCCCCCCTCTCTCTTTCTTCCAATTCCACGACGCCCCCCTCCACCCACGCCTACACCCCCCCCACCCACAACCACCACCCCCTCCCCCCCCCACAGTTATGGGTGTGGTGGGCACCCCATCCACCTCCCCTCCCCAACAACATACCCGCCCAAGAGTGGCCCCGTGCGGCGGCTAAGGATGGGGCTCGGTTCGTTGCCCCGGTCGCTTGCGCACGTCTGGAGAATGCGCTCGGCGTGGTATCCCCGCAGTCGTTGCAACCGGAAGGTGACGCATGTCGAGTGCAAGTTGTGTGCGTGTGTGGCGTTTTGTGGTGGAGGAGGAAGACGTCTGTGGGGTGGGTGGGTGGTTCAGGGGGTGGCGTTTGTGTGAGAGGTGGGAGGGGGTGCATGTTGGGGGGGGGGGGGGGGGTGGGGAAAAAGTGATCTAACCGCGACTTGACGAGACTTTCCACATTTCTCAAGGATTATATCTACGCATTTCCCCCAAAACCGTCTAATATAAATGGAGGGGCCGCGATTCGAGTCGGTATGTATTGTTTACTTTATAGCAGCGGCCGTGTAACATAAACAGGGAAGGGCTTTAATTGCGAGAGGGATGCACTCAGACACAGGTGAATAACAGCCCTCGTTGCGCCCTTCGCTCGATATATTTTTTTTGTACCTCTCGTCTCATCATCCACACTCGCTCTCTTCCTCCGCTTGGGTTGCTTCGGGAGCGCTGCACTCGCTTCTGCCTTGCCGCTTGCCGCTGCTGCTGCTGCTGCTTTGTCAATTTCCCCGCACGTAGAAGCAAGTCGCTAACACACTCCGTACACACGCACACAAGGACTGCACCGCAACGCAGTTTGCTCGCGCGCTCTCGTTACACGTGGTTCTCGCAACGACGACGACGACAAAAAGTTGTAAAGCGCCGAGGAGCGGCGCCTGCTCGCTTTGTGTGCGAACGGACGCCCATGAAGTGTTGCCGGTCGCGTCGTCTTTTCCCTTTTCGCGCATCTCCTCGCGTGACAATGACACGTGCGTTCTTTCTCTCGTCCGCACAGGATTCTATGCGATTTTGACCATAATCTACATCAGCTTGCCGATGGGATTGTGCGTGCCGTTGCCGAGCAAGCCACAGCCACCAATCTGCAAGCTGGTGCAGATCATGAACTTCATCGGATTGCGACTTCCCAACATCACCGAAAACTACGTAGGTACCGCGCATTCACGCATTTTTCGTCCGTTCGCGCGTGCGTCTCGTCGCAGTGGAGACTGCAGGAGACTGTATTTGCTGTGTCGATTTGCGTTGCATCCTCCCCGGCCCACAGTGGCACGCGCGCGTTCATTCATCCCGACGCGAGCTTAAACTTTACGCTGCTGAAACTGCGTGAGCACGCGCGCCTGTTGCGCCTGAGTGGTAGACAAAACGATTAATCGTGTGTTTTTTTTTGCCCAATGAAGAATGACGAGTCGATTCATTAGCGTACGGTTCCGTGGCTTAGACGGAGCAATTTAAACAGAAGGACGTGATTTGTTCTTGCCCAAGGTGGCTCGGTTCTAGAGCGATCAGCGCGCAATCGGACGTTTTGCGAATTAAATTTCTGGATGCAGAGGGGGGGGGGGTTAACTCGGCCCATCATCCCTCCGGAGTCGATACAAATTAGTATCACATTGTGGTGGTGGGGTGGGTGGGGGGGATTGGAGTCATCAGTGGTTGTCCCATGTCTTGACACGTTTTCCGGCCATACGAACGTGGAATTTCCACCATTGGATCGGGGTCGTACACAGGAGACGATCGCTGCCTCAATTGCTCTCTTGCTCAGACAATCCCTTGCCTTGACTCTTGCCTTGACAAGAACGTAAGTTGCAGAAGGATTGTGAGCGATAAAAAAAAAACATTAGTCTGTTTGTAACTAGCTATACGTACGTATGGTAACCAACAGGATAAGGGGGCTGCCGACGACAACAACAATAACAACAAACACGTGCGCGTGACCCGTGTTTGCAGCGAATCGCGGTTTGATAAAACACGCGGACAGAGAACGGGGTCTGATTATCCCCGGCGGAATTCCTCTTCTCGTGCTGGCAATCGTTCAAGCTCAACATTATGTCCGAGTTTGATTCGCGCGGTTTTCTTTTTTTTTCCTTTCAGAGAAGGCAAACCATAAATGTGCTTTGTCAAACACACTGGCGCTTGGCTGTTGTCGTGAATATTATTATGACTGTGGGCTACAGAGCAAAAAAAAAAGCGTTGCAAGCGCGGCAAAACAGCTATATCGTTTTTCCTTTTGAACGCGAAAAAAACCCCCACGGACATATGGACACGCTGAGATGAATTGTGATGAATCGCTTTCTCCGTTGTAATTTTTTTTGTGGCCTTAGCGCTGGCAGGCATTCGAACAATATAGGGCGCTGTGTAGTTTCCGAGCTCATCTGTCACAAACCCATCAGCCAGTGACCCACTTGGACTCGGTAGCGTGGAACAGTGAACCTTAGCGCAACGAGCCAGGCATGTATCGAGTCATTTGCTCTTGTTGAGATCTCCCCCATCGCTGTGGTTTTTTTTGGTTTTGCGAGAATCACCGTATCCGAGACTCACTCTCGGCGCTTCGAACGGCAGAGAAACCCCCGGGCCGCCTCCGTTCCTTTTGTGTCGTCGTCCCGCCCACCCCCCGCGTGGCCGTCAAACCCGGGCGAAATGCTTGAGGTGCCTGCATCTCACCGAGCGAATTACTTGGCTGCACGATAGCGGGGATGTCATAACATGTCACAACCGCACGGAGTTGTTCTCCGGAGCATCCTATCGGCGCCACCTGGGATCTTTGCGCGTTCTCCGCCACGAGTTTGACTACAAAAACAAACTAAAAAAAGTTGCCCCCGTTTGTAAAACCACCACCCCAGCCACCGCCGCCTTTCCTCGTTTCTGGCGACATTTTGTTAGCCTATGAGCGTGGATAGAAATGCGTGCGCACGTGTATTCGCGAACGTTTGCAGCCGTTAAGAGCTCACGGGTTTGTTTTGTTGAATACGCGCGTGTGCACATAACCAAATGTGTTTTTATTAATCAGTGGGCTGCGTGCGTAGATTAATTATTGTGATTCGGTCGAAGTCTCTGTCGATCTCGGAAATTGGATTGCGTGGACCCACCCACCTCGCATGTACGTTGATTACCTCGAAATTAATAATTAATCATGCCAATATGCGAATTGTAAACGCATCACTATTTGGCATATTTCTTACAAATTTTAAAACGATAATTATAATTTGCAATGCAAATCAACACGGCTACGAATCACTCTACACATCACTGTCGACTAAATCGTGTCGCTAATATAGCCTGTTGTTAAGCCGACGCTAACAACTTTTATGAACCCAAAATGGTTTAAAATATTGCTGTTAATCACTCCTTATAACCCGCACGTCTTTGGACTCGATATGGTCAGCTTCATAAAGTGGCCTGCCTGTCACGTGTCCCACTCAGAGAAGAGATACATGGCAGTAGTAAGTCTTCTTATTTTACGTAGGCGAGGCAAGGCGGGGGTAAAGTTAATGACATAAAATACCGCCGAACACCTACACATTGTCAGTAGTGGATGCAGAGATGCATTCTGCTCCTGTGCAGATTCTGGGTGGATTGAACGATGCATTACAAGACCAATTAGAGACGGCGATAGCTTGAGGAGACCTTCATCCAGCAGTAGATTGATCATGGTGGATGATGCTAATGATGATACATGAGCAGCATAGTTCAGTGTACCTGCAGTTAAGGAATTTCTGAGTGTGTTAGGTTTGTTCTTTGGGAGGGGTGTAGATGGATAGAACAGCGGTTTTCAAACGATTCGACCTCTGAGCTCTAAAACCTAAGATGAAGTTTGACTATAGAGATATGGATTTGTATAGAAAGTGAGCAACCATGCATGCCATGCTGAACAATGCTGCCAGGCTTAATTTCATGATCTTTTGATACAAAGCAAACACTCGCATCAATGCAAGCTGTCCAGTCGCAGCGCACTTTAACCACGTTGGCCCGTAGGCTTTGATAAGTTCGCTATATAACCCGTAAACAGGCTGCACTAAATATTATTGATTATGTTCACTCTTTAAAACTTAAACCATCGCACTCATGAACCTTGAGCTTTAGTGATCCAAAAGAACCCCAAAGGGGGCTGCAGTCTGATATAATGTATGCTTTTGTGGCTTTTGCTTTCTGACAAAAAAAAGATAAAAAATATAAACTATCAGCGATTATAAATTCTAATCAAAGCAATACATTATCTTGCTTTTTGGAGCTCGGAGTAAAAAGTAAAACCATTTTCAGTGTATTGCGATATTACCCTTCGAGAAACTTGAACTTCTTAAGCTCTCTATGGGAGGCAACTGTGCTAATCGGAGGTATTAAACAGCATTTGTTTAAATTAACACTGGACTGGTCTTGACCTTCTGGGTTTCATCAGCGGTCAGGTGTGTTCAATACTGCTGGTTTACCAACCGTTATTGGTAAGAGTATTACCCTATATGACGGGGTCCTGTCGGAGCAAAAAAACCCGACACATTTGATAAAAACCCATCTGCTGTGGGTGGAATATTTTGGGAAATAAAATGAATGAAATCAACTCTCGTTCATTGTTACGTCACGACACTCAACGTGCCGTTGGCTTCTGGCAAACAGAAAAAACGCGACATTGGTTGTGTTCACCGTTAATGAACGAGTCGTGGCACTTCTCTGTCCTTGCAGAGACTCGCGAACAACTTTGACGAGGATGCGGCCAACTCCTGCAGCTCTGGGAACATCCACGAGCCCTCCGCCATCCCCGACAACATATCCGAAAGTTCATACAACACGTTCCTGGTGAAACTGTGGAAGGTTCACACGAGCAGCAGAGAACAAATGCTATTATTCAATCAAAGCACTCTAATACAGGAGATGAAAGGCTTCATCTCAGCCGTGAAGAATCTAATGAGAAATCGCAGGATCCCGATACCGGCACACAAACCGACGACCAATCCGGCCAACAAGAACATGTCTGGTTTCGAAACGAAACTCTGTACCTACATGGTCCTCAAGAGGTACTCCATGTGGGTCGTCTGGACAAACCGCCAGCTGCTTTCATATGCGTCCTTGCAAAGGGTGATCTGTTGTCAGACGAAAAAAAATGGGAAGTGCAACTCTATGGACGGACACACCAAGCGACCTGCACGTTGACACTGCAGAGACAATCGCGACTCGGTGGTCGTATTCATCTGGCCAGCCGCTTCCACGGTGGCAGAAGAAGCAGTACGCATATGCAATAATTCCCGGTGCAAATGTTGACCTATTTATTTTTTAAAAAGTATTTTATTGCCATATATTTATTTAACTAACTGCCGTTGCTTTTTTTTCTACTTGTATTTTAGTGTACAACATTTTTAACTTAAAAAAAACTATTATGCCTATGCAGTTAGTGTACATCCAATCCCCACCTCCCCCCCCCCCCCCCCCCCCGCGAGCATTGCTACTATATGCGCGAGTTCATCGCAGTACGAATTTCTATACACTTACAGAACGCATCGAAACTTGACGATAACGTTTAGATTGTATACTTAATGTGGTGCCTGTATAGAAAAATCTGTGACATTCTGAGCGAAAGTATGAAGCATTATGTTTGTAAACTGAACGTGGTGCTAACCTCGCCAAATGCAAGATTTATTTTCACACACGATACAGCACTGTGATTCTGTGAATGCCGACTATTTATTTTGTGTTAACTTATTCTGCCATAATTTATTACCGTAGATGTAGTATTTAAACGAAGGAAATAAACGTTGAACCCAAAAAGCCTCTGGATGTCGTAAAAATGTTTTATTTACACTGTTGGAGGAAGCGAGGTGCATAAAAGACATTTTCTGTTCACGGATAATCGCGGAGAAGATCTGTAAACATATCTATCATGTTTATTGGCTTATCTGGGAACTGGCTGAATGGACAGTGACTCTCATTGTGACTCTCACAATATCATCTACAAAAGTCAAATGAACCAACCAAAAAAAACCCAACGTGCTCATTCTAAATATATGACAAACCAAGGGACAATGCACACCACCTTTGCTTTGCACCGAGGGACATTTTTTCTTGTAAAAACCCAGCTTCCATCCACAATAATGAATCACAGTCTTTTGTCAATATGTGTCAACATGTATGTTGAACTTCTTTCGCACCACACGTAGTCAACTGTGCTAATCGGAGGTGCAGGACATACACTGCTGGATGAAGACCTGCTCACCACGGTTGAGTTAGTTACGGGGATTAATGTCCCATACTTATCCATACCGATGAATGAGGATATGTGGAGTGAGTGGGGGTCGGGGGAATATCACTCGCCACTGGCTTAGGTGTGCCCATCGCACAGTGCGCAAACCACTGCACCAACGGGGGAAAATGGAAGGAACTTGACGGCGACAGAAGAGAATGGTGCGTGAAAGATGTGAACTGCTTGAGCATATTGGCACAAGCCAGAGAAAAGTGGAAACACGTGACGAAATGTGCAGTGGATGCCATTGGGATATCTGCCCCTGGATCGTGGTGGTGGTGATGATGATGAGCTGGGAAGAGTATTGTTGTCACTAATCACGTATCGCGTAGCACAGAAAGCTACGTATCATGATACATGGTAGGTAAAGCAGTTTTACGTAGCATTTAAGGCCCCGGTAAACTTTGCAAAAGCAATTGTGAAATTGTATTATTTTTTGCAGTTAGTGTATACTGGAAATGTACGATGTCAAGGTTTTGTTGTAATTACTTTCATCAGTCTGTGGGTGCTCTGGTTTTCTCCCCATGTAAACACTCATTAATTGGGCAATACCACCATTGTGCTATAACAAGAGGACCGCAGAGCTTCCGGATTGGGAGAAATGTGGCACCTCGTCGCTGCCTGATTGCTGCCTTTCCCGCTCGTCTGGCTCCTCGTGCGCCTCTGATGAGATATTCTCTCTTCGAGAGCGAGGGAAACACTTTGCGGAACGCAACAAATCGCTAATAGTGACCGACATTATTGAGCAACAATCACTACGACATGTACGCTGTCGCCGCATTAGTCCACCGGGCAAGGCATCACGCGAGGCGAGACAACGGGGTGTTCAGATGCACCGGCAACACGTGAAGACACAAACAACAACAACAACAGGACAGAGAGACAGCTGTGAGCTGTTCATACGACACACGACTGACGACTGTCAACGTCTTTCCACACGAGGGAAGGAGACAATTTACTTGCACTTCATCGTCAACCCAGCCTGTCCGCGATATATTCTCAGAACAGTATGTTCCAATAAGAGTGTATTCATCAATGTGTTTCAATTACCGCCATTGCAGAAACCAAATATTCCCTCGTATATGCATTACAATTACCCATTAATTCCACGAGCCGGTATTCTGCGAGCCAAGTTTTGGCCGCTGTGAAACGCGAATCAAATAGTCGATTCTTACATTAGCCGCTATCCTGATACTTTAACCAGTTTTTGGCTGTAATCAGAAGGAATTTGCCTTTCTCCCTGCCACAAACCTTTACCAGGGTCAACCCCAAACCCACCCCCCATCAACGAAATAATGTATAATAGTGTATCGTCTTATGTCAACACACGCATCTCAGCCATGAGGGCCAACTGACCATACTTCACCACAATGGTCAGTCCGAGTCGGTGCAGGAGGTGTGGCAAAGGGGGGAACCAAGAACGACTCGGATATATCACGTGGTCCTTACGATAGTCGTGGCTGGGAATCGAACTCATGTGACCGGTTTCATCGCACAGGTGAGCCACGAGCCACTGTTTACTCTGTCAAAATAAAAGGCAACTCTGCCTTTGCGTCGCATTCTATTTGTTCAATGATCACACGCTCACACTCCACCCTTTTCTAATAACATCTCAAATAAAACCTTACATTCGTCAATAAGTGGCTTATTAGGAAACGATTTAATAGGCGATGTTTTTTAGGCAATGGCTCTTCTCTGAAAGAACCCTTCCTTCCGCCATGAACATGTATGTTCACCTTCTTGGTTCTTTCGGTAAAGTCACGTAGAATGGAAATTATAAAATAATAAAAATTTTACATAATAAAATAATTCTCACGACGTTTCGGCCACACCGCAAGCAGCCGTCCTCAGGTGAAGAACAGGTCTGTTGAGACTCTGTCTTCTCGACAGACCTGTCGAAAGCTTTCAATCGAAATGTATGTTCACATCGCTTTGACAAGCAATTGTTCTCTATCACACTCTGTCCCTTGAATGAATTAAATAAAAATATTTATATTTTACCATGTAAGAGCCACTGAACATATTGCTCTTTTTTCAGAAGCAACCCGGCCACAAATGATAGCCCAATGCAGTGGCTTATGTGGAAATTTATAGCAGCCAAATATTCCAGCCAAATGCTCCCCAACCAGTGCCAATAACATTGCAAATTTACTCGAAAGCTGTCTGTTTTCATCCTAATCCCCTTTACACAATGGCACCGTGATTAGTGGTTTCCTTTTTTGTGACATAATCACAGCCACCTAAAACAAGTTTATAATTCACTTGAATTTTTTTATTTAGCTTTCTATTTTTTTTTTTACCAATTTGGCATTCAAGTTGAGCCATTTGAATGTGTAAAGTTTCTATCTCTGAAAATGCACGTACATAATGAATCCATTGTGGTCAGCTTAAAACATATGTTATGCCAAAGTGATGTGCTTTCAGAACTCACCAACGAAAGCTGCAAACGCTCCCCATGAGCCTACATCATGGAGCATTCTTTATAGCCTTTAACCCACAATTCAACCTATAAAATTGTACATATGTCCCTGCAAAAATAAACTGGGAAACGTAATGTCAATGAGAGCCACTGCATTGGCTCACAAAGCAAGGGGCTGACTAGGTGGCACCGTGCTCACACGTGTGCCTCACGGAGCAAAGGGCCTCTTGTCTGATTCACAGCGCAAAGGGCCTGTTGTTTGATTCCCAGCTTGGTCGCCTATTTGTGTGAAGTTGGTTTTGTTTTTCATCTGTTCTGCACGGTTTCCTCCGGATTCTCTTCTTTGCTCTCGTTACCTGAAAAACAAAAATCTGTATACAATCAAACTGGCATTGGTCAAATAATCCCGATGCTGACAATTATCTATAAACTAATACTCAATTGGGATTAGATGTAGGGACAATGCCTCCGACTGCAAAGCAACTTTTGACAGGACCCACCTCTAAAAAAGCATTTTTAGACTCAGTGAGCCTTTGCAAGGTAAACATGCGACGTAGTAATCCCACACAAATAAATGCTGCACGCCTAGTCTTGTCGCATTGCTTCACGGCTCCTATCTGCAGATGTAGGCCATTGTAGGTCTTTAGGCGTGGACGGTGCTTCTTCTCGTGTTGCTTTGAATACACGTTTGGAGGCTTGTGGACTTTATCTTCATAAACAACGTGGGGGGGACGAGTTTCCGTCATTGGTAACAATAGGAGTAACACCGATCATGTTTTTTTTTTTACGAAAAATTGAGGCGAAAATTTAGCAATGGTCAAGGTAGGAATGATAACTGTGGGCGAGGGGAAAAAACGCGCGGGTGCAGACATCGCGTTGCTTTGCTCTTGGTGGGTGCGAAGGATGTAATGCTGACAATACTTGTCAAAACCCAACGTAAGTATGATAATCAAGATCATGTAATTCCTTGATCAGTGCATTAACATACGCTGCGCCCTGTATATACACGCTAATGCGTATGTATGCAACAGTAATTTAATATTGCGAGCTTTAATACGACGTATTATTGCCTTGGGTAAAAGTTTGTCAAAAGTATGTAAATCTAAATTAATAAAAACGAAAGTTACTGTGTTAGGCATTATAACATGGAAAGTGGTGAGTGACTCATTTGACAAAAACACTCAATATAGACACCCATAGCCTTCCAACATATGACAGGAATTAAATGCGTGTATGGCCATGTTATTACAGTATGCATTCACCCACATGAACCAAAACAAATTGAATATCGCAGATTTCGTCAAGATGTCAGAATCTAGGCAGATCTAACACCTGTATATAGTGTTCGGATGGGTGACAACCATGCATACCAGGAATTATAGGATGTGGGATTCTGTTGTGGGGCGCAAAGGGCAGTGCAGATAAATCCACGGGTGGACTTTGTGTACTCCTATGCTCCCACGTCTATGCTTCCCTTGACCTCGCATGGCATTACTTGGGCCTTCTCCAGCAATGGATTGACAAAGGGCTTGTTCCGTGCATGTCCTACAATACAAAATCTGCCTCCTTCACATACACTGGTCAACACACTTTTTCTGGCATAAGGTATTCCAACGGTTTTAAGGCAATTTTCGGGTGCTGATTCCAAATCTGGCATCAGTTTTTGTCTATCACTTCAGGTTTTTGAGATATTAAATATTGCATTTTCAATAAAAACTGCAGAAGAAAAATATTAAATAAATGTGGATATCTACAT